TTTTTTTTTTTTTTTTTTTTTTTTTTTTTTTAAATCATTGTCACCTTTTACTAACTTTGTAGAAATGCTCGTTTTGTACGGATAAATCTTTTTTTAAAAAGATATAGCATGATAATTTACACTATAGGCCTTCTCTTGTATTGGTACACGCTCTCTGCTGATATTTTCTATTTGAAAATTCGCCTGGTGCCCTGACGGATTGTTATTGTAAGTGTACAACAAGTGGACAAATTTCTCCTCGTGAGAAATGCTCTTTTGCCCTCCTATATGTAGGGAGAAAGATAACTGAGAAAGTGAATGAATTTGTTAACAGAATAAGTTATTCTCCTACCCTTTTGCCCTGCTATATATATGGAGAAAGAGAATTGAGAAAGTGAATGAATTTTAACTGAATAAGTTATTGTAAATGTGCAACTGTTATAATGCCATGGTGTACGTAATGCCATTGTAAGATTCCAATGCTGATCCTAAGCACTGTGGGCAGACATTGTATAAATTGCACCTTTCAGTCAATCAGTCAGTCATGTGGCATAGTAAGGGTTTGAGGTTGAGGTTTGAACAAATAAAAGCACATCGACACAATACCGACATTTCAGAGTTGAGAAAAGACGAGACGTGATATGTTTTATTTGAGTGAAGAGGCACATAGACACAATAAACGTCGCTCAGAGTTTGGGAAAAGCAAACAGACATTGTAAATAATGACAGGAAAGAAAAGAAGCAGAAAATGGCGCCTTCTTATAACCACCAGTCTGGATTTGACTTCGCTAAGAACTCTGAAAAGTCATTCAAGGGGCAAAACTTAGGCTTTCTCTGGGACTGAGAAAGCCTAGGGCAGAACTGAACTGAAGAATAAAAATAAATTCAGGGTAAAATTAGAACACTCACACACATTGGCGTACTCACAGTTAAACCTCGCCTCGCCTCACTTGATCTTGTCTTCCTGGGTGGTTGGCGGGTGCTCTGGTGTGGTTTGCTGCTTATTTCCTATCATTCTGTCCCTGTCGTTTTATGCAAGAAATTTTTTTGAAATTATACAAACTTAGCCAAAAAATGTGAAATTATGCGAATCTGTTAATTTTAACAAAGAATGATCAAGGAAAATAATCAGAAATTATGCAAAAAATGATCACATTTTGCTAAATTATGCGGGGCGCATAAAACCGCGGGGACAGATTATTAAACATCTATCATCTTTATCTCCCCTCCTTCTTTTTTGTGTTTGTTACTCTCTTGAAACACCTCTAATCTTCGGCACTTATATGACCTTATTGTGATGCAACTGCCATGAAACTCTTACTAAAACAAAACAACGATCTTGTCTTCCCATCGTGCTCTCTGATTACTGACTGCCTTCTCGTTTTCCTCCGTGTGCTATTCCTTGTGGGGTAGTTATCTTAACAATGCAGTCTAGAAGATCGTGCGATTTGTATTTGCCATTACAATTAACAAACAAAAGAATAAAAAGACGAGACTAACAAATTTGACTACCTCAGTGTTTTACTAAGAATTACTTTAATAACAAGAGTTAATAATTATTAGTGCATTTCGTTCCTTTTTCTTTCCCCTTCACCACATTCGAATACAAATGGCGTCAGTGGTCTAGTGGTTAAACTGTCGGGCTCGTAACCGAAAGGTGATTGGATCAAACCCTGTCACTTCACCCTTGTGGAGATGGGAACATGGCTACAAACGGCGAAAGATCTTGTCAGTTTGTTGTGTGTTTGACGGCATTATTGGCTGCTTTCTCTGTGTGTTTCTCGGGAAGCTGAGAATGTTCCTGGGTGTTCTAGGGTCTGCTAGGATAGTTGTTGTAAAACTCAGAGGATGCTTTATAACGTGAATAATCAGTAATATATATA